CGCCAACTGACAAGTCATACTTTATACAAGTTCAAAAAGAGGGCGAGACCAACTCTCTTCCCACTGGGAGAGAGAGAGGGTAGTCTCTCTCACTCGCGCTGCTAAGGTCCCCTCTGTTCTTGCCACCTGACCAAACAAGCACTTGCCAGCACTTGACATGGATTCATTGCACAAATACCCCTGTAAAAGAGGGGTTCTCTCTGCAATGCCCTGATATACTTTCACAGAGCTGGGAAGCCCGCAGACTTCCTACTCTAGCTAGCGTTGACCTCACTTCAGGTTTGACATTAGGCTCTGGTTTAGGGGTGGCTTTACGTTCCCATTTAAGTCTGGGCTTAGTGTCTGCACCTAGGTGGACTTATGGTTGGGTTGTGGGGAAGGGGTCTACGCAGCATAGGGATATCTGGGAAAATCACCCGCTTGGCATTCCACTTTATACAAATGTATACTTACCAACATCGAGGTTGGGTTCCGACGGCTTTTCTGTGTTCTTCAGAACCGAGCAGGAATTGAAGGGGAGGCAGGGAAAAAAAGGGGAAACGGGAACGATGACGAGCAGGGGGGAGAGGGGGGCAAGGATTCAACTCTAACCCACCATGACCCGCAGGCCCCTTTGGCCGTATTCAGCAAGCTTCCTTGCCTAACCCTAGCTCCTTAGCCCCCTAATTAGCCCCCATAGTTACCCCACTAATCAACCCCTTAATTAACCTCCTGAGTCCCTCAATCCCCTAATTAACCTATGAGCTGACCCCCAAAATTAATACCCACCTGTCTCCCCAAAATTAACCCTCTATTTTGATTTGACGAGCCCCTAATGAGCCCGCCCTCATTAACTCCCAAGAACCCAACCGCCTAGAATAGGAATTAACCACCCAGCCTGACTCAGGAAAAAAAAAAAAAAAAAACGAATTAAGTTCAATTAACCCCCAAGAACCTTCAGAGTCAGTCAGTAGAAGTAGCTAGCTAAAGAGGGGTAGGTCTGCCACCGACCCCTTGCCCTGCCTCTCTCAGAGGAGAGTGGTAGGAAGAAAAGGGGTTGGAGAAAGTTAAGGGGAAATAAGACTCATCACAATTTACAGCCCTGCCACTGAGGGTGGATGAAGCATACCTCTCCCCCCCCC